TGGGTCAGGTCACTTGAATAGTGGATCAAAGCAAAGTGGTCATGAGGCTGGCAGTGAGCAATTTGCCACAGGGAAAGGCTTGGATATATCTGGGTGGTGCCCAGGAGCTTGGTACCCTCTGAGGCTGAAGCTGGGTGGTCCACTCACAGCTGGGGTAGAGATGAGGCATGGGGGGATGGGAATTGCCACACAACTCTTAGGGGGCAGGGAGAAGGATGTCCGTTTCTTGTGCCCATGGAAAAGGCTGGCACCTTGATTTGGTTCAGAGTGGCAGGACAGTAGATGTGCTTCCACACCCCAAGGACCAGAGAGGGACCTTGAGGAGGCTTGTCTGTCCTCAAGAGTTGGAGACTCCCTTCATGATAGTGGAGCTGAGTGAAGGTTTTGGCTAGGCCTGGCTTCTTCTCTCAACACTGCTGGATCCCATTTGACAGAGAAAGCTGAAAGCAGGGCCACTTTGGGGGTGTAGTTCAGTTGGTAGAGTGCTTGCCTAGCATGTAAGAAGCCCTGGGTTCAGTCTTCAGCATTGTACAAACCAGGCAGGCCTGGATCTCTAAGATCCAGGCCTGCCTGGTATACATAGTGGGTTCCAGGCTGGTTGGGGCGGCAAACACGAACAAAAAACCCCAACCCCATCCCCCCAAACCAAAACCAAAACAGGAGGCTGAAGAGATGGCTCAGCAGTTAAGAGCACTGTGTACTCTTGTAGAAGACCCGGGTTTGGATCCCAGCACCCACATGGCAGTTAAAAACCATCCATAACTCCAGTTCCAGGAGATCCAACACTCTTTTCTGTCACCTCAGGAACTGTATTACACAGCTGCAGTTACACACATGCAGACACAACACTCATATACATAAAATAAAATCAGTCAAATCAAAACAAAACAATAACAACAGAAATTAAAGATCATCTTCTACATCTCAAGTTTGAGGCCAGCTGGAACTTGGGGTACCCCTCCTTGTGAGGCTGGCCAAAGGAGAGACTCCTCTCTGTGCCACTGTTGAGGGGACTAGAGGCCTCAAGAGAGGAAGACCGTTGTGTCTATGTCTTAAACAGGGGAGTTGGGACCCAGTTTCCTGAAGGAAGAAAGGGTGGTCAATGTGTGGACGGGCTCCAATAGAGCATGGTGTGAGCACAGGCAGGCCTGAGACTGAGAAGGCAGTGGGATGTGGGCCCAGCCAATCCAGCTGGGGAGCTGGGGGCAAGAGGTAGGACTGGCACATGGACTGCGTGCGGCAGTGGGGAAGGTAGAGGTGGAAGGCTGCATTAATTGGAGCTCAGAGTTCTACAGCAAGAAGACAGCTACCCCAGGTGTTCAGTTCAGGAGGCTCAGGCCATGGTAGGAAGTAGCCTTCAATTTTCAGGACATACTTTACCTTTGATCATGAGACTGGCCCTACGAAACTGACTGGAGCCACCAGAAAGTGGAGGACATGTTCATCCTGGATTCTCCAGAGAGGGGCCAGGCTGAGGGCTGGCCCACTGCATACTAGAGAAACCTCCCAGTGAAACATTTGGGTTGGGCAAAGTTGAGGTGAACTTTGAGGGCATTCAAGGGTGGTTGCTCTTGGATTCTTTTTTACTGTTATTTTTTAGTGTGGTTGTATGTGTATGTGCACATGTGTACATGTGCATATGGAGGTCAGAGGGCAACTTTCAGGAATCTGTTCTCTCCTACCATTTGAGCTCCAGGGATTGAACTCAGTTTGTCAGGTTTGACAGCATGTACTTTCAACTGCTGAGTCATCTTGCCTGGTACCTCTATTTTTTGATGGAGTCTCTAACTTAACCTGGAGCTCACTGATTAGGGGAGTCTAATTAACCAGTAAGTCCTGAGAATCTTCCCGTCTTCACTTCCCCAGTGGAGCACCATGATTCCCCAATGTTGGCTTTTTATGTGGGTGCTGGAAACTGAACTCAGGTCCTCATTCTTAGGTGGCAGGTACTTTACCAATGAATCTAACTCCCCAGTCTGAATCCTCCTCCTAGGTTCTTGCTGCTCCTCATGTGGACTCAAGTGATCAAGGACAGATATGTCAGGCTAAAGTGAGGCTGGAGTCCTCACTTCACTGACAAACTTGATGAAAGGCCTTGTCAGCAACAGGATTCCCTTTGTTGCAGTTCCTGGGGGATCTGCAGGGTGGCTGGGTCTTTGCATGGCTCTTTACTCCCCTCTATAGGCAGTACATATGGAGGACTCAGTTTCTCCAGGCCCCAGGATAGAACCAAAACTCAGCAGCACCTCTTGTTCAGATTCAAGATGATTACATAATCAGATCAGGAGGAAAAAGGGGATGCACACCTTTTAAGACAAAAGTTCATAGTATCAGTGATGGGGTTGGGGGGTGGCTCAGTGGGTGAAAGTGTTTGCCATGCAATTGTGAGGATCTGAGTTCACACCCCCAGAACCCATGTAAAAGCCTGATATGGCATCTGTAATCCCTGCTCTCCTAAGGAGATGGGAGGCAGAGACAGGATCCTCTAAAGCTGCAAGATCAGCTAGCCCGGTGTAGGGAGAAGAAAAACAAAGACCTGGCCCAAACAAGGCGGAAGGCGACCTTCACATGTGTACTGTGGCATTCATATGCCTCTCCCCACTATCAATGGTAAGAAAGGCAAAGAACGAAGGTGTGTTGGCTCTGGTTAAGTCAGACAGGAGAGGCACAGAGGGTTACAAGAAGCCTTCTGAAGATATGGATGAGACAGCAGGAAATGATCTGAACTGTGTATAAGCACATTCCTGCATTGGGGTTGTTTGGGGGCTATAGCAGTTGGGCTGAGTGTTGTGGCAGAATGTCATTCTTGGAATACATATGTGCAAGTGTTTAGCAGTGGAGTGACCAAAACCCATTTTGTGATGTTTCAGGAAAGTGTGTACGCATGTCCTTGTGTAGATGGGAAATGGAACACAGGGTAAACAACCATGTGTTAAGATATTACCTCCAGGGAACCCTTGGAGCATGCTGTGGCTATGGTTGGGGTGTCCCCCAAGGCATCATATATGAAGTGTAATCCATTGTGGGAACTAGTAGGAGGGTGAGGACACTCGGGGGATGGTCAGGATGAGAGGTCATGAGTGGAGTCCTATGAGTGAATACTGTGGCTTTATTAGAGGATAACCAGAGGAAACACACATGCGTCTTTCATTTTGTGGTTGCATATTGTGTACAGGTGTATTTGTGTGTAGGTGCATTTGAAGGCCATTTTCCTCAGATGCTGTCCACCTTGGTCTTTTGAGACGGGGTCTCCCTGTAGTCCCAGCTGGCCTGGAACTCACTAGGTAGACCAGGCTGGCCTTGAACTCACAGAGATCCGCATGGCTCTGCCTCCGAAATGCTGGGATTAAAGGTGTGTATCACCACACCTGGCCATCTCGGTCTTTTTCAAAAAAATTCTTTTGGATATTTTTGAGACAAGGTCTCATTATCTACCCCTGGCTGGCCTGGAACTCACTATGTAGACCAGGTTGGCCTCAATCTCATAAAGGTCCACCTGCTTTGCCTCCCAAGTGCTGAAATTAAAGGGGTGCACCATCATGCCTGGTTCTTAAATTTTTTTTTATATTATTTATGTGTATGAGTGTATTGTCTATGTATTGCCTCTGTGCTTGCAGAAGTCAGAAGAGGGTGTTGGTTCCCCTAGTAGAGTTACAGACTATTGTTAGCCACCATGTGAGTGCTGGGAACTGAACTCAGGGTCCTCTGCAACAGCAGTCAATGTTCTGGGGGCTGGAGCGATGGCTCAGCAGTTAAGAACACTGGCTGTTCTTGCAGAAGACCTGGGTTCGAATTCCAGCACCCACAAGGCAGGTAAACACTGTCTGTAACTCCAGTTCCAGGGGATCTTGACAGCCTCTTCTGTCCTCCGAGAGCATTGCACAACACAGGTGCCCTTACCTACATGCAGGCAATGCATACACATAAAATAAAAATAATAAAAATATTAAAAAGAAAAAAAAAAAGCAAGCAGTATCTGTTCTCCCTGATGTTTGGGTGCTGGGAATTGAACCTGGGTCCTCTAAAAGAGCAGCCAGTGCTTTTAACTGGTGAGTCAATTCTCCAGGTCCACCAATTTCTTCGGGTTCCAATGGACCAGCAGCTCTCCAGGAATCACCCAGGTACCAGATTGGGACTGTGCAATTGCTGGATTCTCAGCCTCTCCAGTGTGGCACAGCCATTGTTGGACTACTCAGACTCTGTCCTGTTAGCCAATCTTATAAGTCCCCTTTATGTATACATATATATGTATTCATTCTACCAGCTCTGTTCCTCTAGAGATCCCTCATACAAAAGGTAAGCCTAGTTTTCTTCAGGCAGGGTCTCATAGCTGGCCTCAGACTTACTGTGTAGCTAATTATGATCTTGAACTACCAATCCTCCTTGCCTCCACTGCTCAGGTGCTGGGGATCAAACCCAGGGCTTACTATATGCTAGACAAAGTAAACTATATTACCAGCCCCATCTTTCCCTTTTTCCTTTTAGATTTTTCCAACTTAGGGGTTGGAGAGATTGCTCAGTGGTTAAAAGCCTAGTTCAGTTCCCAGCACCCATATGGTAGCTCACAACTGTCCATAACTCTGGTTCCAGGGGATCTGATGCCCTCTTCTGGCCTCTGCAGGCACTGCATGCACATGATGCACTTACATACATGCAGGCAAAACACTCATACACGTAATTTTAAAAATTAAAAATTTTCAAGTTAAAACCGAGGGAAGAAAGCCATGACAGATGCACTGTCATCCCTGTTGGTCACAGCTTTCCTTTCAGTTGGTGTCATCTCATATACTGTAATAAATGGTAAGTTTCTGCCTTTTGTGGTGATGACAATGTTTTTACTTGTCCAGCACCTTATTTCATGACTGGTCACCTGCAGCTGTACAGCAGCACCAGTGCTGTCAACCCATGTCTGCACCCAGGGACACTATTTTGAGAATCCTATGAGGCAGGCAGCTACCGTGCCTGGGACAGCTGCGCTACCACAGACCACAGCACGCAGAGACCTTTTCAGGATTTATTTCATCTGCTAACGTTCATTCTCCACCTAGACAAAAACAATTAGAGGATAACTTGCTTTTCCATCACCAATTCATCTTTCGTATGAACAAAAGATTCCTTCTCAACACTTTTTATTTTTTTAATAAGAAGCTATAAATAAATAAAGCTTTAAAGCTCCTGGGTTCAAGTTAAACAGTTCCAGTTCCCAAAAGGTCACCCAGACAGTTCTGTGGTTCCTGCTTCCCACTTCAGGAGGGGATGTGACATTTGCAGGCCTGCAGAGTGCCTGGCAACCAAGTTAGCTTGCTGCATTTCCCTGGCCTCTCGGCCTCAGGGAAGGCCTCTGGGTGGGCAGAGTCCTTGGAGTTGGAGGGGGGGCACCTCATTCCGAGACGTCCCATGAGATGCTGTGGGTACCAGGAAGCTTTGCCCCAAAGCTGGTAGCCTGAGCATTAGTGCAGGCTGAACAGCCAAGGGCACCTTAGCCTGGTGCTGGCCTGAGATGGGGAGGGACTATGCTTCAAATGCAGCAGAGAGAAGAGACCCGTGCTTCCGTGTGTGTCAGGATGGCGAGACATAAGTTAAAACATATTCCAATATGTACAAAACAGATCCTATGCTTGGGCCGTGCACACGGGAAGCTGTGAGGAAGGGCCATTGTGGAGCTTGGGTACTCACTACCTGACAGGAGCCCACAGCAACCAATATGACCTGGAAAAGACCCAAGAGCTCTCCAAATATGTCCCACCATTCTCCCAGGAGTTTATCCACTCTAAACTATGAGCATTCAAACCAATTCCCCACATGGTGATCTTGACCTCCTTTCAACAGGGCAGTATTACTAACTCACCTTGCTATCCACCTCCTTGGTGTGATCCCCACCACAAATGAGGTGGCCCTGGACTGGACTAGACAGAGCCCATCAGAGTCCACCTTGCCTATGAATGCCAAGATCAACTGCCCAGTACCTAGGTGTGGGTACTATGTCAGCCACACAGCAAAGACTAAGCCACAAGGGGCTGCACCTGCCAACACCTGGAGTATTCCTATAGATGGCCTTCATTACTGTTGACGATGATCAATCCCTTCACAGCCTGAGTAGCTGAGTGAGACCGGAGCAGGGAGGAAGCCCTGTCCTGCATCAGGATCAGCTCACAGTCCTTGGCCACATGCACATGGCTTTTGAAAAGCCACAGCACCTTCACTCAGTGGTGGGCCCACCAGAGCCTCCTAGAGAACATAGGGAACAACACACCAGGCAAGTACTTAAAACGGATATGCAACATGGCTTCTAGTAGGGTCACTGGCCCATCTGGAGGGCTGCTGGAAACAGCCTGGCCAGCCTTTGTGAGGGGTAGGCGTTTCAGGGAGAGCCAGAGTGGGAAGGTTGTGCATATGGGCCCACAGAGATGCTTCTTCCAACCTTAGCTGAGAATGGTGAAGTTCCCATCCTGGCCATCCAGTACCAACGCAGGGCTTGGCTCACAGCAGCAGCAGTGGCCCTGCATCCCAGCCAATGGATGCTTTTAGGCATTGGATTATAGGGCTGCTGGTGTGGTGGGAGTGGTGGCACATGAGCCCTTGAATAAATGTCCCACCGATGGGGCTGGAGGCAGGAGATCACAAAGAACAGGAATTGAGGGGCAGCTCTTGGTGTCCACCCCCTTCCTGTCTGAGCTAGATCATCTCCCAATGCCAGGTGGCCCAGAGCACATAGGGGCCAGACTCTAGTCTTCTCTGCTTCAGTGGCTGACCCTGACCTCGAAAGCAGCTTTGATGGGGGAGGAGGAGGGAAGTCCCAGGTCTGAGGACACCCCAGAGACCTGCTTGTGTTCTTGGGGACAAGGCTCCCCAAGATTCTGGGTTATCAGGGTTCCCAGAGGCCAAGGGGCTTCAGATGGACTGTATGGAGCTAGTCATGTGTTCCTAAAGGGTTGGGCATTGGAGGCCAGAGCGTGCATAGTAGGTGTGAGACTTCTGGCTGACCAGACACGTCCCCTCTCTAGCCTTTTCCAAATTTTCATCAACTGTGAGAGGACTCGGAGGCCAGGACAGCAGAGAGGGAGTTCTGAGGCACCCTTCTAGCAGGCTTCCCTCTGCACTGGATAGCAAGAATGGCTGGCTCCCTCTTTTCCCCTAAAGTTTTAGGTAGGCCCACTTGCCCGTCACTCCTTGCCCCTGCCACCTCCCCCGTGCCACCACTACCACTTTTCGATGATATGGCTCATGTAGTCCTCAGTGGGCACACGGCCTGGTTCTTCCGTGTCCTCCCTCGGCAGCGCCTCCTTGGCGCGGTGCAGGAGACGCTCCTCGCGATTGCGCATGCGCTGCTCCCTGCGCTCCAGCTGCCGCTTGTACTGGTAGCGCTGCTGGAAGAGGTCCTTGGCGTAGTCATAGAGCTGCATGTCCAGGTCGTTGAGCTCCTCGATGTGCCGGATGGTGTCCTCATCTACCTCCACGCCGCCTGCCCGCGTGCTGTTGTACTGCATGAAGGGCCGGATGAACTTGAGGTTGAACGTCCGCTCAAACAGATACTGCGTCTTGCGCTGGAACTCCGTCAGGCCGAAGAAGGCCATGCCACGCAGGTTTTTCTTGGCGCTCTCCAGCAGCAGCTGGGCCCGCTTGCTTTCAGGGATGAAGGACAGGTTGTAGCAGCCCACCAGGCTGAGGTCAGCCAGCATGCGCACCTGGCGATTGCTGGCCAGGTTATAGGGGCAGTCCATGAACTCCTGCAGGGTGCAGCCGGACCAGTCCGTGCCCTCGTAGCAGGGTGGCAGCTCCTCTGGGGTGGGTGTGCGCCCGTCACACATGTGCAGTGACGTCTTCCACGTAGCCCCTCGCTGCACGTGTCGCCACTCACTCAGGTATCGGGACACGGGGTCTCGCAGCAGGGTGATATAGTAGAACTTCCTGCAATAAGGAAAGAGGTCAGTATCGTGATAGGGGCTGGAGGTAGTGGCTGTGGCTCTCCACTATGGCCCCCGGGCAAGCAACGTCATCCTGATACCAGCTGCATAGCAAAAGCTCTCAGCTCTGCTATTAATATGAGTAGAAAATTCAGGGGCCTGAGGGAAGGAACTTGCCAAGGGCAAAAATGATAACGCTGTGTCTTGCAGTGCCTGGCCTCAGCCCCTAACTCATGTTAGGGATAACCTGACTCTCCCTTGCTGGTGGAACCAGGCTGGCACTCTTCACACCCAGAGGGGCTTGAGCCACAGTGAGGGCCGAGAAGATTTTAAAAGCTGCCTATTGCTCATACCACATCATCCTCCAGTGCTGCCATGTAGCTCAAAAAGGATCAATCCTACCTTTTCCTCCTCTGTGAAGCACAGACCCAGTATAACAGGTGTCCCTCCTGGGACACTTTAATGACTGGTCTGGGGGCATCAGAGCACTGTAGATAAGATATGTACAATGTGGTGACCTCCTCCTTCCCAGGCAGAGAAGCACACTGATAGGGAAACTTAAAGCCTTGCTGACTTTCTGACTCTTCTGTCCCCTACTTACTTGGGGAGAGCTATGGAGAGTGCAGGTACCAGGAAGGGTCCATTGGTAGGTGCCTTGCTCGTGTATCTCTTAGGGAGTAAGGAGGCTACAGCAGCTGCCATGTTACTACTATGGGCCACCTCAGCTTCTGGGGACACATCCTGAAAGTCACAGGGATGACAGTTCTGACAAAGGATGGCCCCTTACTATATGCAGAGAAGACCCTAGGGCAGCTCTTGGCCCTCTAACATCCCCTGGAGTTCCTGTGGGCTGGCAGGCTCAGATAGTGCCTTTGAGGGCTCCCAGGAAGAATGGTAGAGAGGATCCTGGAACCAAGAGCCCTCCAAGGGCTTCACGAGCCATGAGAAGGCAGTATCTGTTCCTCTCTGGGGATAGTGGCTACAGCCTTCAAAGGCTGGAACTGAATGAGGCCCGTGTGGCCTGTGTCCTAGGACCTACACACTTTGCCCCATTGTGGCTTCCACCCTTTGGAAGCCTTCTGGGAACATTGGTGTCAGATGGCTACCAGTACTGAATAGATGGTAGCTCCTGGGCCAGGCCATGGGATATCTTGACAGGCTGGACCAACTGTATGCAGATGGAGAGCCAGAAGCCCCCAACTTTTATGCTCCAGACCTGAGCTTCTTCATACCCAAGATACCCATGACCCATTGAGCACCTAGCACATACCGCCTGGTCATCTGTGTTGAAAGTAGCAGCTGCCAGGCTTGTGGTGCCCCAAAGAGCCAGGGAGGCAGACTTCATTGTTGGTCTAGCCTGATGCCCAGCTCCCTACAATAGGGTCTCGAACATAGCAGAGCCAACAAGCCAAGAGCAAAGACTAGGAAGTGAGGGCAGCAGGGGCACCCCTCCCCTGGCTCATACCACTCTGACTTCAGTAGCAGGTCAGGAATGCAAAAAAGTCCCAGCACACCTCCTGGGGTCCTGTATAAGGTGCTACACCTCCTGTCTATACAGACACCTAGCAGCTAGCTGCACAAGGCCAGATGGTCTTACAGAGCAGGCTTTTCTACAGATCAGGAACTTCCTACCTTCTCTTGAATGACTCGTGTATATGTGATATATGTGTGTGTGTGTGTGTGTGTGTGTGTGTGTGTGTGTGTATGTGTGTCCTGTGCCAGTGGGGATGGGGCACATCTTGACTTTTGGAGTCACTCATGTCAGTCATATAGGGGCAATGACAGCCTACATCCATCAGGCTGGCTGATCCCCTATGTTTGAGGCTCAGCCAAGTCCCCAACCCCCCACCAAGCAGTCTTCCCTGACCATAGGGCCAGTACTACACAGGTCCATGTGTGCATGTGTTGGCCTCTCCTCCAGGAACCTTGAAGCTTCCCAGTCCAGGTGCTAGGCTGACTACAGGTATAACACCACCGTAGGCCAACTGGATTAATACAATGTCACAGGGAAAATATCCAGGCATTATGGCTACACCTGTAATCCAAGTACTAAAGAGGCTGAGGCAGGAGGACTGCCATGAGTCTGAGGCCAGTCTGGGCTATAGTGTTAGATGCTGTTTCAAAAAGCAAGGTAAGGGCTTGGGAGAGGCTCAGTGGTTAAGAGCACTTGCTGTCCTTCCAGAGAACCCAGGTTCAGTTCCCAACACCCACATGGTAGCTAACAACCATCTATAAATTCAGTTACAGGAGATCTGACATCCTCTTCTGGCATCTGCAGGCACTGCACACATGTGGTACACTTACATACATATAGGCAAAACACTCATAAAAACAAAAGTAAATGAAATAATAAAACAACAACAACAACAACAATAATAACCACCAGCACCACAACCTAAAGTAAAAAGACTTCAGGGTCAGTGAGATGGCTCAGCAGGTAGAGGCACTACCACAAAGCCTGACGACCTGAATTTGATTCCCAAACCCACATGGTAGAAGTAGCTGATTCCTGGAAGTTGTCCTCTGAGCTACCTATTCATTTGGCACATGCAAGTATACATACATACATACATACATACATACATACATACATACACACACATACATACATACATATATACATACATACATACAATGTAGGGGG